CAGCCTCTTGATCCTTGTAAGAATTGAGGTTAGCATTAGTCTTTCTGATTCTGCTTCTTCTCCAGTGGAACCATAGGGGAAGATTCTGTGTACTATCTATGGAGCTATTTATGTAATGTGTTGTTCTGTGCAACACCTCACACATACCACCTAAGAACCTCAGCCACAGACACCAGCTTTCTAACAGTGCCACTACCTGACCTCAGGGGTCAGTCACATCACAAACTTCTGACTGTAGGATGAAACTTGAGAAGTGTAGATCAGGATCACCCCAAAGGAAGAGCTGGAGATAAGAGAAAGGAAAGGAGAAAGAAAGAAAGAAACAAACAAACAAAAAAACGCTGGTGCAAGATTCACCAGAGCAGAATTACTTTTCGTTCTCAGAGCTATCACAAATTAAATTATGGAGGATGCTAAAAAGCTAACTTCAAATGTAGCTGGTAGAAAACATAATTCTCGAAGGAAGTTGCCTCCCTGCTCTGAACTGGAGAATCATGACAGCAAGCGCTTGCTGGAGATCATGATTTTATAATTACAAGAGAAAGGGTTAGTTAAGAATGACTGACTGACATCATGAAACAAATGAGAGATGACGAGGGTGGATTTGAGCTTTAATTCTCCCATGCCAAGGGAAGTGTTCAACACTATCTCTGTTTGTGTTCCCGGAGCCTCTTCTTTTTGAGCTTCCACATGCTTAGCCATTCACTTATTGTCTATGTATCCCATTGTTATCCTAAACTGATGCACGACAGAATCAGAATGGAGTCTTTCCTTTTTTTTCTTTTTTTTAACTAATTGCCAAAGATTCTGTCCCTCTGCAACTACCTACTAGGCAATTTCTCCTTTAACTATATTTCCACAGCTGAAATGATCTCTGTTACTAATTTGCTGCTGCATAAATCTGTGTCAGACACATTAGAGAAGGGTCTGTATTATTGCTCTACACTACAGTGGCGGTGTGAATTATGTAAAACGGTCTGACATTTTGGCAGGAAGACAACAACTTGTAAAATGTGGGACAGAACTAACCACTCTGTAGAAGTCATTGAGTCTATGTTACACCATTATTTAAACCTTAATGTTTCATGTTCACTCTTAAAGAATTAAACTTGAGATAACTAAGATAAGTCCTATGAGACAGCATTTATAGAATGTGCATACTTTGGGAGAATTCTTAGATATGATTATGTCTCTAAAGATGATTTATAAGTATTCCTATGCCATAGTAAGAAAATGTAAATTAAAATAGGTTAAACATTAGGCAGTAGGAAAATGTAGCAAGGAATCAAATGGACCAAGTGTGAAGTCAGTACAAAAATACACCCATAAAGTCACATATTTGTAAGTAATGACTGCAAATAAGGCTTTGAGCTTTCTAGTAGCCAACATAAAGAAGCAACCGTTGCAATAGCTTGGTCATTCCGAGTTCATAATCCTAGATGTGAGTATTTAGAGGGATCTGTAGAATTTCATTTCAGTGAACATTCAGCTATAATTAAGTTTCATGATCGATTCTGTGTTCCCAGTGTTAGGCATACTCTATCCCTGGCAAGAGAAGAAAAGCTCAAAAATTCATTGCATAAAAGAATGATACATATCCTAGGTCAAAATTTTACAATAATGAAATAATAACCCTGAATTTCTCCTGGAAATTCTGTAACAGTATTAAGTGCTTACAGTCATACTAAGACATTTGACTTTCACCTGTCTGTGATCATAACCAACTCAGAATGGTTCCCATCTAAGCCTTTGCAGATCTATAGGTTTACTAAATATAATTGTTTATTATATTCAGCATGATGCCAATGAATCCAGAATTTTTCCACTGGTATTTTATAAGTAATTGCTTGGTACTGAAATTCTCCAAATCTTATTATTCCAATTATAACTTTTAATGCATTTTTTATTATATGTTACCTATTTGGTAGATTCTTATTTTTAAGGCTTATTCTTCGTAAGTATAAGATTACAAAGTGTAAGGAAAACAGTGCAGTACATTTACAGTATATGTATGTATTTATCTTCCAGAGTCATAAATTCATAATCTCATTCAAATGTAAAATGTGTATAGTGAAAATGTGAGTAACAGCATGGAAGAGGGGGAAACAGGTCAGAGATAATGAGAAGGAAAAGAGAACAAATAAAAAGGAAATGTATTGTTTAAGCCATTTAGAGTAATATTTTGTTTCTGAGTCTTCATCAAAATCACAAAGCAGTTTCTGAATACGAGTGTAATTATACATGCCTCTTTATTTGCAGTAATTTTATTTTGGCATTTTGAATTGAATCACCCATTAAGATATTACTTTAATGGCTGAATTTATTAAATTATTTGAAACAAATCATGTAAGGAGATAGGCATGCTTCCCAAGAAATCTGTTCTGAACAAGACAAGTGTACTTCATTTTAACAAGAAATTCAAAAGTCTGTTGCTGGGTTCCAAAACAATTCTACTGTGCTACTATGTTGCATTCACACAACTAGTCTCTAATTTTACCAATTTAGTTCTGACACATCAAGCATAAATTTGTTCTGATTATGATGAAAGGTGACATTTGGGCCATTGTGGATAAGCTTGTGCTATATCTTAAAAGTATTCACAATTTCCTTTTGTTCTGGTTCAATTTCCATGTCTAGATCATGTTCTTTCACCTACTAACACATTCATTTTACCGTCAGAGCCTGCATAGTAGTGTATTTCATAAACTGAGTATTCGTTGGACATAGTCACCCAAGCTCTACACACGGTACCCAACCAACGTCATAGCATTCAACCTGGCTCAGAGGTGACTTTAAGAAACTGTGAGGAAACCCAAACAAGGGCGCTCAGGAGCACACACATCACCAATAGTTAGAAGCAGTCCTCTTTTCGGATTGAGACTACAACTGATGAAAGCACATGTGAGGAGTATTTAAGAGAAAAGAGAATGGCTTCCTAGCCAACCAGATCAGTCAAACAAACCCTGGTGATTGTTGGAGTGACAGAACCACATCCAGGTTGACCTCATAACCTCTGAGTTATATCAGCACTTCTGAAGTGTCCATTGGGATTAAAAGAGTGGGAAAGAGCAAGACATAAAGCTAGGGTGACCATATAGTTTATTACCAAGACGAACGAGTATGATCATAAAAGAGGGTGATAATAATAATTACTCTGGGAAAACAAGCATAAACCAGGACTGTCCTGGGA